CCTGGGAACGAAATAGTTTGTATATATCTATATATCTAGTCCTGGGAACGAAATAGTGTGTATATATCTATATATCTAGTCCTGGGAACGAAGTAGTGTGTATATATCTATATATCTAGTCCTGGGAACGAAGTAGTGTGTGTATATCTATATATCTATTCCTGGGAACGAAATAGTGTGTATATATCTATATATCTAGTCTTGGGAACGAAATAGTGTGTATATATCAATATATCTAGTCCTGGGAACGAAGTAGTGTGTATGAAACCAGAAAAATCTCTCTGGATCTTCTTTATCAGAACAAGATGTCTCAGATCAGAAGATTAACCAGAACTGGATCAGTGAGTAAATCAATAAACATTTCAAGTGCTGCAACTAGAGCTTGGCGTGTTTCTCCTTTTTTAAATTGTTCTTTCCATTCCTTTCGTTCCCGAGAAAGAACAATCGTTCCCCCAGAAACGATGCTCAGCCCTTGAGCTGGGCGTGCTCCTACTTTTTAAAATCGTTAGTTCCGTTCGTTCCCTTGAAAGAACAATCATTCCCCAGGAACGATGCCCAGCCCTAGCTGCAACATGTGCATAACTTATGCTCAAAACCCACGTAAAACATGATTTCCCGGATCCAAATCCCTGGGAGCCTATCTTAATCTACTCCTGGTTTAAATCTTTCATATTGTCGCACTATAATGTTTTATTTTTATCTTGTGCTGTTTTGTTATTTTGGGGACAAAAACAGATTAAAAAAAATGCCAGGGTTCACCTATTCGACACTCAACATTGTAATAATTTGCAATTATGTTGTATATGAAGTATATACCTGCTCCATAACAAGTTCTCGAAGTTATCCAGGTACAATTCGTCCGCTATCAAACTCAACCAAGACTGAATCCCTGGCGATCCTACCTTCTAATAAAAAACAGGGTTTCAGTTTTACTCTCTTGCAGTAAAGAGTACAGAGTTTATCTATAAACTGACTTTATTTAAATATCGTATGTCACAAGTTGACGTAACTGCAATTCATACATTGTTACCTATATCACATGATTAAGACTTTCATTTTTCATACAGTTAAAGTTTAATGTACCTATTTATAAGATTAGCGAGAATAGATATAACACAGTTAAGCTATCTTCACATATTTTTACAGCGTAATTTAACCCTATTCCTGCTGGGGGGGGGTCAATTTGACCCCCGCCTGTAGTTTTTTTTACATAACTCAAAAAGTATTGGTCTGAGGCTGTTGAAATTTATCCAAATGAAAACTGGTAAATAAAGATGACAGCAGTTACTTTTTGATCTGCTTCCTTTACTTTTTATTCTTTATAAAAAAATGTCTATGACGATCTTTATAGTTTCTACAAACTGAAAAAAATCAGATTTGATATTTTGCAGTAAAATAAATATTGTTAAAACCTAATAGCTTTTCTTGGCACTTCTTAAAACATCAATTTAGTGAAATGGGTTTGTTTACACTGCACAATTGCTGTGTCTCATGTTCATTGGATTTTTAAAAACTATCACTTTGATTTAAAAGTCGTCTTCCGATTTCAGAGTTTTCTGGTAACTATTGTATTAACCTTCTTCTTAGTTTTTTTAAAAATGTTTCCAGAAAAAAATAGGTTTTTTTACAAAAAAATATTTTTTTAATTTAGGAGAAACATAATTAAAAAAAGAAAATGTTCTTAATTTAGGAGAGCTCCACCACTGAGAACAGTCTGGAAAAAGTGCTTACAGAAATAGAACGGGATTTAAGTAAATCAATCAATCAATCAATTGATTCATCAATTTATCAATAAATTAAGCAATAAATTAATCAAATAATCAATTAATAATTTAATCAATTAATGTATAAATTAATCGATCTATTAACCAATCAGTCAATTTATAAATCAATGAATCAATAAATTGATAAATCAATAAATTAATTAATCAATCTATGAATTATACAGTATATTGATCAATTCATTTTGTTATTTTTAAAGAATAAAGATTTTAAGTGATCTATTGTGCTAATAAAATGAATTTGTTAGACAAATGTGCAAGAAGAAAAAAGGAATTGAATAAAAAATCTAAAATGGACCAACAAACATTTAAGAAGAAAGTAAGTTGAATATTTAAAACCCATTAAAAGACATTTTTATTTTGCATTTTAAAAAAACTTTACTTATTCTTTAGTCCAAACTACTTATAAATTCAAGAAAAATGGCTTTAATATCCAAGAATGAACCTAAAAGCAGGTATACATAGTAAATTTTAATAATGAAAGACGACTTTCATAAACTTCATGGTTTTATTTATGGCAGACCCGGAACATTGGGGGTTGGAGCGATCATAAGTATTCTAAAAATCAAGAAATTTTCTCTTCAACGAAGCAAAAACAGAGTAAGATAAAAGTAAAAATAAATAAAAAAATAATTATGATCTCGTCATATAATAAAAACTTTAGATTTTTTTGATTTTTGAAGAAAAAAAATATTATTTTTTTGCCCTTTGTTACCCCTAGGAATACCCATGAGAGCTCTAAAAATTCAGCCAATTTGGTTCAGCTGTTTTACCAGCTATGGCTAGCATATAAATATAAATATATGTACATAAAAGGTTCTGTTTCATTAATCTATTTTTATCAAATATATTCCTCTATTTATATACAGGGCTAACCACAAGGTATGAGACTGGACGGATTTTTACTGTCTGTTTTCTTACATGATTCCTTGCAACAGTAAGCTAATTTCTTTCTTTTCAAATCCTTTAATCAAAAAGGCTATTAAAGACAAAAACTAAATTTAACCGTTAGATCCGCATATTTTAGTTTTTGGTCGTCTTTACAGTCTCATCCTTGTCGGTAACTCTGTTTGCTTCCAATAAAAGCTGTAACGGCTAAACCTAATTTATATTTTATATTTCTAGATAAATCCAGGCATTGGAGGTCAGTCAATTTAAAAACTTGTGTTCTGTTCTTGCACATTTTTGGAATATTTAAAAAAAAACTAAAAAATTGTTATAGACGGAGATTTGGAAATATACATTTCAGCAAAACTAGAATCTTTTCTGTAAGTAGTTTTAAGAATAGTTTTTTTAATTCACAACTTATATAAGAAAATGGTTGAAAATAATAAGAAAATGGTTCAACATTTACAGAAATATAATATATAACTGAATTTGAACATAAAAATAAAATGCAAAAATTCCATTTTATTGCTTAGGCATAAATGGGAGGGAAATGAAAGGATAGATTTAGAATCTGAAGAAGAAGCAATTATTGCTCAAAATATTATAGAAACTTATATTAGGTAAATTCTTAAATTAATTCGAAATAAACTTAATCTCTTCTCACAATAATCTTTTTAAATGTTTTAACCTCTAAGGAATTGAGTCTTTGCCCTAAACGCAAATTTCTAAATCTTTGCAACCTGATGGTATAAACCTTTGAAACAAACAAACTTAGATTGTTTGATCTAACAGAATTCATAGTTTAAAATATCTTAGGTCTGTGACATTGGATTGCTAAGTTATAGGGATTGAAATTTCAGAGTTTTTTTTTGCAAAGACTCAATTCCTTTCTGATCAATTAAAACCTGGTAATTATAAAATATACAGTTCTGAATCACAAAAAAATATTAAAAATTAAAAAAATGTAAAGGAACTGTCAACGTGATTTAAAGTGTAAGATCGTTGTATTACAGATTAACAATGGTACCCTTTAAACCTGTATTTGATAAGCAATGAGAAAGATATAGCTCTGTTTTCTATCTGGAAAAGTGTTTAATTCTGACTAATTTCTTCTCTGCTGAATAAATCTGTAAATTACTTTTGTAGAGAAACCAAGAAACCACAATATGTATACTCATCAATTTTCATAAAGAAAACAAGGGTTCATTTCTGCTTAGCAAAGATATTAAGGGCACCGTTGTGAATCCACTAAGTACTTCTTATTGTAGATGGACATTGGACACTTGACATTACGTTAACACTTCAACAATTTTTGAGATTTTGATGTTTTAGGAATAAGCTTGGATATACTCTTCGACCAGGAGATTTTATCTTAAACTGTTTTTCTTCATCTCTCATCAAACCTTCGGAAACAGCTTCTAAATCTGCTATAATTGAACCAGGAGCAGCTAGACCAGGAACTGAAGCTGCTAAACTAGAAAAAGCAGCTCCTAAAGTAGGAGGAGCTGCTGAATCCGAAAGTGCAGCTTCAGTGCAAGAAATAAGAATAAAAAAAGATCTTATTGAAAATTCTGATGTTACGAACGCAGAATCGATGCCTATTCTTCAAGATCAAAAAGATCAATCAGATCAAAAAGGTCAACAAGTTCAAAAAGATCAATCAGATTTATCAGATCCAACAGATCCATTGGTTTTCAAAGAGAAATTAAAAGGAACAGAAAAAATCATGCATTTGGTAAGTTGTAAATTTCTTTATCTAAAAATTAAATACAATTCTATAAAACTTTAAACTTCTTAAACTTAAAAGGACTGTAAAGGAACAATGTAAGGAGGTATAGAACCCATGAGAGTTCTATCTGATGGTCCTGTCTCGAGAAATTGATATAAAACTGTGTTAACCCTTTCTCTGCTAGCTGGGGTACTTGAAAACCAGGATATGCTGGGGGGGGGTTAATTTGACCCCCCCCTCTAAATCCCATGTTTGATGTCCAAATATGACAAATGATACATCATTGGAAAGCTCTTGTGCTCTACTTTTAGAATCTGCAAAAAAATTTGCAAATTTGCAAAAATTGAATTTTTTATCGCAAAATCCAGTTATACAGTAAAAATGTTTGCAAAAAAAATTTGTCCAAAAAATGAAAAATTATACATTTTTGAAAAGCCCTTGACCATGCCATTTTAAATATGCAAAAATTTTTGCAAAATTTTAAATAACCTGATTTTTAATCAAGAAAAACTAAAAATGTGCAAATTTCCTTTGACAGGTTGTTTGCAAAAAGTTTGCAATTTTTTTTTTGCAAAACTTGTGCAATTCGTTTCCTTATGTCAAAGGCTTTCCAAAAAGCTAAATTTTATCAAAATCTGACAAGTGGAAGTGAGTCAAAACAAAAGCAGTCATTCAGGCAGTGTGCCTGAGGACTCAGGCAGTTAGTATTAAAGCCCGGTTTTAGGCCTAAAGGGAGGGCTTTGGGTATGTAGGAAAAGTCAGAAAATTTCAACAGCCTCAGACCAATACTTTTTGAGTTATGTAAAAAAAAACTACAGGGGGGGGTCAAATTGACCCCCCCCCCAGCCTGAATAGGGTTAAAGGAATTGAGTCTTTATCATAAACTTCTACAACAATTTTCTAACCCCTATATCTTTGAAACCTGATGGTGTAAACCTATGATATTTCAAACTTAAATTATTTGATCTTTCAGAATTTACAGTTTGAAATATCAAAGTTCTACGACATCGTTTTCTCAAAATACATATAAAATTTGTGTAAAAATGGTAGGGTTAAGCAACTACACAACCAATCTGAAAACAACGATTCTCAGAGGAGCCTAAGAAACTTAGGTTTGCTCTTTTAATTATTTGAGCTCAATGATTTTTCATTTTTAATAGATACTAGGTGAAGGACCCGGCGTTGCCCTTGGAGAAAAAGTTAATTTTTTTTTTCAAAATCCTTTAGTCCAGTCGTTTGGCTTGCTATAGGGGTAACAAATATCGTGGCAAACCCTATATTTGTAAACCTGAACACACCTAGTTATATTACATTGTAAATTGTCTGTAAATCTAAATGCGCTGGTAAATAGCTACGTAAAACTTGTATTGCGATTAACCTAACCTAGCTACATCTGGAAATAACTACCTCAAACCTGTATTGGGATTAGCTTAACTACGCTTGTATATAACGACGCAAAACTTGGAATTACGTTCATTAACTTAACCTGTAACATAGAAATCAAAATAAACGTCAGTCGGAAAATATTTTGCTTTCATTATGGTGTGAGAGTAATTCTTCTTGGTTAGCAAACGAGAAGCGTCCTGAATCACTTTCTTGAAAGATAGGTATAGATTGGGAATTGAAACAGATAAAGTTGTGTCCGGATTGATATTGATATTAAAGTATTTATCAAACGGAATTAGTTCTTGTGCCTCGTGGATTAACAAGAGGGATTGAGTTGTACCGGAATTGTTATTATGGAATTATTGGAGTAGGGCATTTACCACATAGGGAATATATATGAATGTCTTGTTTTATTATACAGATTATTTATTATATATTAAATTTGTCCATATCATGTGACCAGAACTCCCACCAATTGCAGTGCAGTATCATTATCATGTGACTTCGTCTCTATTACATAACCAGTAGAATTCTGCACTGCCATTGGTGGGAGTTCTGGTCACCTGATACACTTGTACAAATAATATTATCAATTATATCTTTATTAATGAAAATTATTAATTCAAATAATAATAGAAGCAAACCTATGTTTCTTAAGCTTCTCTCGGATTCTGTCGTTTATATATTAGTTGTTTATTTGCTGTATATTATCCGTTTAAACCTACTATTGTTATACCAAATTTTATATAAATATATATTTGTATAAATTTTACAAATTTTTATATCAATTTCTTGAGACAGGAACATCAGATAGAACTCTCAGCGGTCTTGATCAACTCCTAAAAAGGTTTCAACCTATACCCCCTTTCATTTTTCCTTTACAGTCCATTTAAATTAATTCACTTTTGGGTTTTAAGATCTTGCATATTTTTTAACACATTGCCTTTTTCGAAAGAGTCTTACAAATAATATTGTGAATCCTTATAATAAGACCAAAACGAGTTTGAGAAATGAAACAATGACCTGGGGCGGGGGGGGGGGGGG